CGGAATTTCAGATTCAGGATCATAACTCTGAATGGCCACTAAGTCGAGGCCCACCTGTGTACAAAACATGGAATTAGCACAGGGGTGGGCTACTACGGGTTCACACGGGTTCAGGCGATCCTCTAGCTAAGATTCCATGCAGTTCGGCGAACCCGTAAATCCCACCCTTGGGTGGCCCTGCCCACCCTGCCCTGCCCCTCCCAGGAGTCCCCACACGGACTGTTTTGTATGCCAGGTAAATACAGAGTGCATGTGGAGGCTCAGGGAGGGTGAAAAATCGGCCTCCCAGAGGCTCCAGAAGGCTGGAAATGGGCTCACCATTTCCAGCTTCTGGAGGGCCTTCAGAGTCCAGGGAAGGCCATTTTTGCCTTCCCGGAGGCTCGAAGAAAGCCTGCAGAGCCTGAGGAGGGCGAAAAATGGGCCTCCCTGAAGTTCTGGAAGGCCAGAAACAGGACTCCAGAGCCCGGGGAGGGTGAAAACTGCCCATCGCCCCACCGTGGTGCAGGAGGCCGACTAGGCCGTGCCCACACAGCCACTCCTACCACCCAGCAACTATGCAGAGAACCGGTTGCTGAAATTTTTGAAGCCCACAGCACAGGAAATGTACTCAACAGCACAGAAATGTAATCAACAGCACAGGAAATGTAAGAATTCTTCATTGCTGGAGTTGCTCTAATGGATACTGACGTGGTTGTTCTGTGTCATTGTTTGTTGACCTAGGTCTATTTTGCAGCAGCTAGTCTGGGGGCTGACCTTCCCACGTTTCCTTGGGGCAGGTAAGTGAAGAAGCTGGGGAGAGAGGAGGTGTCCATCAGCAACTTCACGCAGAGGTGACCCTGTTGTTTGTTCCACAGTGGAAGTGGAAGAAGAGGATTTCAGTGGCTTCCCATCCAAACAGAGTTGTATCACAGTACAAACACAATATTTCTTCGGGTCTGACGATAAATCCTTCAATGGCATTCTGGACTGTATCAACTGTTCTAGGTAGGTGTCACCTCAAAACCACTTAACGCATTTCACCTCCCCTTTAATAATGTTCAAAATATAGAGATGCAAACAGGACAGGTGCATAAATATGTGAAAACATTGCTTTGCAACAGTATATGGAGATTCTCAGTCATCCAGGTCATGGTTATCCCAAAGGACAGGAGGAGGCAACTGGAGAGCTCTTCAGGAGAGCTGAAGAAGCTTCTTGGATGAGAAGCAAAATGTCTTCAAAGAAAAAACAAGAAAGTCCAGTTGCCTCCTGAAAAAAGCACCTTTGGGACAACGATGACCTGGATGGCTTGGAATCTCCATAGACTTTTAGCTATTCACTTTGGGATGAACATCCTTCAAATCAGAGTTGGAAGGGACCTTGTAGGTCATCTAGTCCAACCCCCTGCCCAAGCAGGAGATCCTACACCATTTCTGACTCCCATCTGTCGGAAATGGTGTAGGGTGTCCTACTTGGACAGGGTTGGACTAGATGACCTACAAGGTCCTTCCAACTCAGATTATCTGTTATTATTATCTGTTATCTGGTGTGGGCATATGAATGGATTTCCAGAAAAAGAAATCAGGCTACAGGAACCATTTGCACTATTCAGGTGACCCTGAGGACATAGACAAACCTCCAGGTGGCCTCAATGACACTCTAAAAGAATGCAAATGACCAACTGTCTGCAAGGAATAGAAATCCTTCCATTCCCCACCTTCTTCAGCTTCTTCAGTCAGAGCTGAAGAAGCTTCTTGGATGAGAAGCGAAATGTCTTTAAAAAGAAACAAGGAAGTCCAGTTGCCTCCTGAAAAAGCATCTTGGGGATTGCTTTGCAACCTATAAAACAGCCATGCGTTGTGTGTCCCCCTCGCAGAATTGCTGCTTTTAAGGGACTGCAGAAAGAGGCTAGATAGGTGCTCTTTTGAAGATCAAATTCTTCACAATTCTTCAAATCTTGCACAATTTAGACATACTTCAATAGCACATGTTTTACAGTCCTTATTACAAAATGTTGTGGAATAGAAGGGGTGAGAGGCACATTAGTTTGAGCATGAAGGTAGCCATATCCCTTTCAAGGGTCAGCATGATGCTTTTCATAGGGTTGCAGCTGAAGCAGGATGGTCTCAGCTGCTTCATGAACCTTCTTTGCAAGTCTGGGTACTCTTGGAAATAATGTGTCAGGCTCCATAAACCAAGAAAGACACACTGATTCTACCAAGCACATTTCTTTAGTGTTCATCGCCTAAAGACAGAATCTTGCCAAACTAAAAGCATGCTAACACCCCCTTAAAGCATATACTCTGGGAACTGTTAAGGAGGAGCTGTCTTCACCCTCTTTCTCTCACACAAATTTCTCTGAGCTGAGTTGCCTCTTGCTCCTCTGGAAACCACTCTGGAATCCAGACTGCACTCTATCACACAACGGTGCCAAATCACTATTGCAATTGTTCCAGACAATATTTGCATGGACCTTTGTTTGTGTTCTAATACTGAAATTTTCTGGATCTCAGCCAGGGGTGGGATTCAAATTTTTTAACAACCGGTTCTGTGGGCATGGCTTAGTTGGTGGGTGTGGCTTGGTGGTCATGTTATTGGCTGGGCGTGACCAACTCAACATCACTCACATCGAGGCACGCATCTCCTTGCTTGGCCTCTCAAGACTGTGGGGATGCTACAACAGTTGTAAATGTGAAAAATAGTCATAAGTCACTTTTTTCAGTGCCATTGTAACTTTGAATGGTCACTCCACACAAGCAAAGTACCAGCAAAGGAGGGGGGGAAAAACTCCAGAGAGGTTCCTGAGACAGGAAGTCTAGTCCTGCCAAGAATGCAACAAGGGTTAACGGAGAGGCAGTTTCTGTAAGCAATACCAGAATGTTTCCTTCCTGCCTTCCTTACAGGATTAGGCCAGTAATTTCTTCTAACAACTGGTTCTCCGAACTGCTTAGAATGTTAACGGTTCTAGTAAATAGGTGCAAACTGGTAGAATCCCACCCCTGATCTCAGCCTTTAAACTGTTTGGTGTCGTTTGGCTTTGCTTTCTCAGGCTTTTTCATGCAGAGAAGATTTCCAACACCAATTTGGTTTTCATCATGAGTGACAGTAAAGAATTGTGTCATCATTGTGATGCAAGGCCATTGATGCAAGCCGAGAAGCCTGGTATCCTTTCCTGCTTGAGACTGGATTTGTATTTGCTTACAAGAAGAACATTGGAAACAGATGGAGAATCTGTTTCTAAACTATAACCCATACCAGTAGTTGTTGTGTCTGGTGTGGATGTGATGCGATGTTATTCCATACCAGCTTCCTTTCTGTATGGTCTTAAGATGTTCATTACCATTGACTGGTTGATTGTTTGTGTTCCATTATTTTATTTTAATTTGTTTTTTTTGTCAAGCATGTATGAGAAAACAAGTATAAGTATGAACGTAACATATAAATGAATAAGTATAAACAGGTATAAGTAGATATATCATAAATGAGTATGAATAAATGGGATCAGAAGGACAGGGCCGGCTTCCGGTTTGAGTTTCTTCAACGACAGACCGAAACCGTGACTCTGCGCAGTTTTGATCCGTGCTCGCCACTGCAGCGCCCTGAGCTGGCTGGTTTCGGGGCTAAGCCACCCCGTAGAGGTGGTGAAGAAGGGGGAGACTGCCTGCAGGGTTGAGGAGAGCCGCATCTCTCCTCCTCAGCTAGCCATTACTCCCTTTCCCAAAGGTGGTTTCAGCGGTGGTCAGTAATGGCCACCACAAAGAAGAATTCAACCAGAAAAGAATGTGCAGGAGGAAGATAAGAAGAGAAAGTTTTGGTTGACTGGGTCAAACAGCAAAAGCAACAAATAACGTACCCTAGAATTGAAACTATTAAAAAATAATAATAACACGGTTCCCAAAGAAGATTTCTAAGCAGTGGAGAGAGAAAAGGGAAAAGATTTGGTTTTTTTTTTTCCTCTCTTCCGATACTGACAGCTAAGAGACTTAAGCAAGGAATTGGAAAAAAAATCCACTTTGACATTAAAAGGCATTTAATGCTGAAAATAAAAAGTCAAAGGGATAATAAAGATTTCTAGATAATTAAAAGCTTTTGAAAACAGGAAAGGAGAGAAAAAGAATAAAACGGCAGGATCTGGAAGGGAGGAGACTGCCTGGAATTAAAAAGAACTTACAGTAAAATCTCAACATGACTTCCAAAAGATACATCTTAACTGAAACATCGCAACAAAATATTAAAACCCCAGGAAGAGAAAGTGAAAAAAGAAATAAGAAGAAACAGCTTGGGACTATTTGGATTATTTGGTGATCTCTGGATTCTTGGTTACTGCATTTGAATGACTAAAATCAATCAAGTGGTTGTTTAAAAGTGTTTAAAATGGCTCCACTTTTAGAAGAACTGAAAATGGAACTTAAAAAGTACAAAGAAGATGCACAAGAAGGGAGAGGTTCTTTTGGCTTCGTATTTCAGTTCTTGGAAACGGAGATTTGGAACTATGAGAAACAACAAGAAATGCCTGCAGAACAAGAAGATTGGGACAAAGAAAAAGCTTTAATGAACAAGTAATCTTAGGTGGGGGGAAAAAAAGGAAAGGGGGAAAAGAGAATGGAAAGTTTAAGATTGGGAAAGACAACCCAAAAAAAGAATAGAGTGAAAAATAAGTATAAAATCAGAAAGCAACAGAAGAGGGAAATGCAGAAGAGAGAATTAGAAGTAGAGAGACAAGGGGGTAAAAAGGGGAGGGAGAAGAAGAGGGGGAAGAAAGAAAGGAAAAGAAGTTATAAAGGACAGAAACAAAATATAGAGAAACAGGACCTATTTAGAGATAATGGGTGAAAATCTAGTTGAAAAAGGGATTCTGTAAAGGTACATAAGATAGTATTGTTATATTAGAAATAGAAATAATTTCAGAAAATATGAAACAATGTATGATTAAAATGTTTGATAAAATAGCTATCGTAACTTAGTGGAATGCTTGTCAATAAATAAATGTAACAAAATGAATATTTAATGATTTATAAAACATATGTGAAGAGAAATAAGGGAAAAATTAAGTATGGAGATTTCCAAGTCTTTAAGGAAGTATGATATTTAATTGAAAAAAATGTTAAAGATGTTAAGACTTTAATGAATATTAATGATAGAACTGAATTGGAATGGAATGAGGGTTTTAATTACATATATTTACAATCCTTTTTTTAAGAATATGGTGTGTATTATAAGAATGTACCAAGCAGAATTCGATTGGAAGTTATGTATTATGTATTACATTGAATGTCATAACCTCAAGGTATATATCGAAGTTTAAATAAGAGTTGAATGGAAAAAAACAAAAGATATAAAGGTATCATACTCTAATTAGTAAATACAGGAGAAAATTTGTTTAATGAGAAATTGAAATTGAAACAGAACAGACAAAAATATAAATATAATGATTTGAATTTAGATGAGATAATCAAAATAAAATTGAGAAAATTAAAAGAGGGGAAAAACTATATAGAAAATGCAGAATAGTGTTGGTCTGCTCGGGGCAGTCTTGTGTTTTGGGTGAGGGGAGTTGTGAGGAAATGTCAATAAACCCACTAAACCACAGTTATGTGTGTGTGTGAGTGAGCAGGACAGTACACTGTGCAGTATAAGCAAAGGGAGAATGGTGTTGTGTTTCTTAACTGATGGGTAGATGAAGGACCGAATCCTTGTGAGATGGTTCAGCATCCCAGATACAGGAAAGGACCGGATGCTTGTTTTGATGACGCTAAAGTAAGTCTTCTCTTCTTTCAAATATATGGTCCTTCTTTTTTTCTATTTCTCCTTTCCTAAGAACAGTTTCCATCTTTAATTGACTGTACTCTGCCTCTCTCTCTCTCTCTCTCTCTCTCTTTCTCTCTCATTACACATACTGCTCCCGTTCCAGATCAGAACCCTTCTAATGCAAATGTGCTCACAATTAAACTTAAAACTGATGGCTGCCTTTGTTTTTGGAGCTGCCTTGCCTTTCAGCGATTGTGCTTTCACACACAATTCCTATCTTTTTTCAAAAAGAAAAAATAGGACAGTCTGTGCTGGCTTTCTGTACACACAGCCATGGCAATCTTCCATGGTGTCTTCAACAGCCTTGAAAACTGAACTTTTAGATATTGTGGGGTTGTTGTTTTTTCTCCTTTCTGACTCATGGGCATTGTGCATTCCTTCCCTGTTCCAAATCTCTTTATTCGTGGGCACTTTGTGAATCTGGAGGAGACTCTGTGCCTCTCTGTTTCAAAGAGGATTCCTTGTAAAAGGATGGTAGGGATCATGATGACACGGATATAATTACTTAATTTTGCTCATGTTATGAAATACCCACGATATTTTTTTAAAATAAAAATAAAAAATTGGTGTCTTCACAATTTCTGGAATCCAGCAAAGCAATTTCAGGAGAAATATTTAACTTTGACAGAAAAGGCTTGATCCAAGCTAGATAGATAGCAACAAAAGAGACTCTACACACACGAATGTGTGTGTGTGTGTGTGTGTGTGTGTGTGAAAACATCACATATTGGAACACAAAGATTATCTTGACTTTTCTGTGTTCAACAGGGGAGTCATCCATAGAATATACATACATACATATTTGTGTGTTTGTGTTTTAAAATACCACAAACCAAGATTATCTTGACTTTCCTCTGTTCAACAGAGGAGTCCTCCATAGAAATTCAGATCAGCCATTTACAAAGCATGACATTCATGAAAACCCATGATTTAAAGAATTTTTTAACAATGTTTTCCCTTTTTTAAAAAAATGGCACACACAGTACTTGTGAAATCAAAGTTCTCTATCTTTATTTGGGACTAGCCGATAACCCGGCATTGCATATTTATTTATCCCAATCCTGTATTAGACAGGAAAATCATGTAGTCGGGACTCACACTGTTGTACTGTCTCTCGTGTAGCATCGCAGTTCTTCTATTCCTCCACAGGAGGGAACCCCCTTGTGGAGTACTGTAAAGCCGTTCCCAGGGCAAGTCCACTGTGCTGTACAGTAGAAGCCATTTTAAGGCTCATAAACCCCCCCCCCCAGGGGATGTTAGGGGTGTCTTACCCCCACAGTATTTGTTTCCAGAGGGTAAGCCATCTGTGTACCAAGCTTGGTTGAAATTGCTCGAGGCATTCCAGAGTTATGGTGGAACACAAACACACAAACACATACACACACATATATTCAGTCTTTGCTTTACAATGCAATAAAGTCTCTTTCTTTGGGTGGGTGGGTGGGTTTAAACTAGAAGACATCCAAGATCCCTTCTAGCCCCACGAGACTTATGATTCTGTGATTCCATGGGTGTTTCCCCAGGTCAAAATTTTACAGCATAAAATTTATATATGCACTGAGAGCATATGCACGAAGACAAATTCCTTGTGTGTCTAATCACACTTGGTCAATAAAGAATTCATTCATTCATTCATACGGTCCAAGATTTGTATTTACACATTCAGTTTAGGTTGCAACAAACACATATGTGTGAGAACCGTGTGTCAGACCACACGTTTGAGCTGTGAAAATGTTTAACACACGAGAACTTCTGCTCTGCTGGGAACAAATAGGAAGGAACAAATGTGTCCTCCGTGATCAGCAACACTGGATACTTGTGTTTGAACGTACAAGGAGTCTTGCTTACTAGCTTGATGTGCTCTTCTTCTCTATCTTAGTCATGTAATGGTAGCATTTTGACATCTTGGCTTAAGTTTCCTTTTCAGTTGTCTCTGTAAAATTCTTCGCTTTTTCCTTTTTTTGCTTTTCACATGATCTCTTCTATCGGCCAGCCAACTTTGCATGAAATTTCATCTTCTGTGTGTTTCTTTCTGTGTTCCTTTTCCTTTCCTCTGTTTGCGACTTTGCCCCGTTACTAATAGGATCAGCCTCTTTGCACAAGGAGCTTCGCCACTGCCATGACGCCCACCTCTGTCTTCATTTTTCTGCAAGTTTTCATGTGGTGTGGATGGTCAGTTACTTTCTCTAATTTTGCATTTTGTTTCATTTCCCCCAACCCAAAAGTTGTTGTTTTGCAAGAATACAAATGTAATTAAGAATGTATATAACTGATGACATTAGGAAAGGGATGACTGATAGATATAGGCTTGTTCAGAACTTGGTTTCTCTCAGAAAGAGGTTAGGAACTGGTTAAGACCTAATCCAATCCTTTCCTTTCCCTTCTTTTCCCTTTCCTTTCCTTCCCCATCTATTTACTTCCTTTCCTTCCCTTTCCTTCCCTTCCCTTCCCTTCCATTTACTTCCTTCCCTTCGCTTCCCCATCTATTTACTTCCTTTCCTTTACTCTGCTCTACTCTACTTTCCACATTTCCTTTCCTCTCCTCCATTCCCTTCCTTTCCTTTATTTCATTTCACTTCCTTTCCTTCCTTCCTTCCTTCCTTCCTTCTTTCCCTCTCTCCTTCTTCCTTCTTTCCCGAGAAAATCTTTAGTTACTTCAATTTTTTTTTTGGGGGGGGGCATCAATTCACTTGATTCAGTTATTTGTTCTTCCAATGTACAGTCCTTCTGCTCTCTCTCGCTCTCTCTCATGGTCTATTGGGATCACCACACTAGAATTTCTATTTTTATTTCATTGTTTTTGCAGATCTTTAATTTTGAGGCAGAAGGGATAGACCATAATTCAAGGAAGGGACATAGACTTTACACTGTTAACATTCCTAATCCAGTTTTTAGTCATTTTCTGAAGAAGAAAGATCTCCTGGTCTAACTATGGACTTCTGGTTGTCAATTAAGAAAGCGTTTGACAAGATAGAACTTCTGGTCTGGCTCCACTTCTCGTTCCTATTATGCATCCATATGCTATAGTCCCTGAATTTATGCAGCCAATATGGATATGTGAATCAGCCAAGATATAATTTAAGGATTCGAGTCAATTTAATTAGAATTTTCATTTTGACTCAAAGAATTGTGTTGAGTCAGTCTGAATTTGTGGTTTTTGAACATCACTCAAAAGGATGATTTAAATGAACTGTTCTTCACTCAAAAGTTTGCACAGCTGAAATAGATAATACTTTGAGTTTGTAGAACGAATACTGTGGAATATAAAATCCGCCATAAAATTGTAACAGCAACAAATCAGCAACCTAAAAGAACATAATCAGTCTGAAAATAACTTGGCTTGCTTAATATCCAGAAAAAAACATAGCTGTATGTTTTCAGAAGTGCTGTCTGCTAATAATATACAAACATTGGAATCAACAGCATTTCTTGACTAAAGTAAAACATAGGAAAACAAAAATAAAAACACAATGTACAGATGATTACGAGGTTGTGATTTTCTCGTATCACTTCTATACAGATAGATTCTCAAAGATGAGAGTCTAAATTTGTCTTCCATGACTTGCAGTTTCAAAGGATTAAACTGTGGGAGTGGCACTAGTTGCAAACTAATTTTTTCCCAGAAGCTAAATTGGCAAACTTTCTCCCTCAGTTTGTCTAACCCAATAGGATGCTACCGTACATAATTCCTCCAGGTTATCTTCCCATTCCTCCTCCCAATCTCAAGAGTTAGGCACAGGTCCAAGCAAAACATGTGGCTGTTTTCCACATCTATTTTTTGAATCCCTCAAACATTCTTGAAAATGCTGGTCTTTTGCTTGCTTTATGCCAGATTGCTGTGAATAGAATGTGGAATATGGAATATGGAATATGGAATAGAATAGTTCTGAAGCCAGTCAGAAAGGTTCATTCTCAAATTAGCTTAAAATCCTCTGTAGATTTCTTTGGGACTAAAGGGTGCTTTAATTCAATGAGTCTAAGTTAAAAGGCAACAGGAACAGATCCAGCTGTGATCTGGAAAACTTTCTTTACACATGGCCTCAAGCAAGTACAATAACCCTTTATGTGAAAAGAATACAGCACTATTTCTAGTTCTAACTTGAGAACAAACTGAATGCCATAGGGTAGGGTAGGGTAGGGTAGAATAGAGTAGAATAGAGTAGAATAGAGTAGAATGGAATGGAATGGAATAGAATAGAATAGAATAGAATAGAATAGAATAGAATAGAATAGAATAGAATAGAAAGATAGGATAGAAGATAGGATAGGATAGTATAGGACAGAACAGAACAGAATAGTCATTGTTACTTTGAACAGTCACTAAACAACCCGTTGTAAATCAAGGATTACCTGTAATGAATTTTTACTTTCCAGCAGTTCTGGAGAATCATATCTTTGACTAAGGACATTTGTAGAAGAGTTTGCTTTCATTCTGCCCATATTACAAAATCACTAGAGGGAGTCATCTGGCTCTAAAAACCTTTGATAAAACATGGCTTGCTGCACATCTACATTAAGAAAAATGCATTTAATTATCTTCAGATATATATATTTAGATATCTGATATTCATTTGTATTGACATTGTGTTCCTCTAATCCATGAAAAGATGAGTTGGTGATATCTGGCATTGGTTTATCTTCATAACCATAAATATGTTTACTTATAGCTAGCTGGTTTTAGTTACTTTACATATATTCCAAGTAACTCCACAATTGAGAGGAATATCTTCCTTCTGAATTGCCAGAAAAATTAACCTGGTTTTTGTTTCCCATTCATTTGGATGCCCATTTCACTTCCCTTATTATACTCAGTCAATAAATACTCTCTGTGCTTCACATCACATTGCACTATGTGAAATAGTTGATTAAAAAAAGACAAAAACATCTGGATAGTGGATGAGACAGCAGAAGAGAAGAGAAAGAACTGGGGAGAAAACCCCACAGAATACGAAGACCTACAAATACAAGTAGACCGATCGTGGCAAAAGAGAGTAAAGCTAGTCTTATTAGGTGCCTGGGGTGCAATCCCAAAACATCTGGAGCATCATTTGAATCCCATCATCATCATCATCATCATCTTTTAAAGACCCCACAATCCCTTGCGGGGTGGATTCTGGCCAACTGAATGGAGCTAGCAGAGTGTTTGAATGGCCAGATGCCTTTCCTGTTGCCAATGCGGAGTTTTCTTCAGCAGAAATATTCTGAGTGTGCCCAGAGAGAGAAATATCTGCTTCTATCTAGGATTGAACTCACAGCCTCCTGATTGTGGGGCGAGAGCTCCACCTCTAGGCCACCAAACCACACCATTTGAATCCCATCGGCATTGACAAATTCCCCATCGGTCAATTGCAAAAGACAGCTTTAGTTGGAACAGCTGACAACCTGCCACGATACCTCTAACACCGCCAAACAACCATGTCTGTCTATCCCAAGTCCTTGGAGAGGACTTGATAGGTTAACAAAACTGCCAACTCCAGTCTAAACCTCTGGCTGACTGTGCAACCAACCACAAGAATAATTTAAACTCTTTATTGAATCTCTGCAGTGGTTGATAACCAGCAAACATGGCTCATCCTTACTTTTGCACAAAGAAAGGCTGGACAATCTATTCCACAATATTGTGGTTGAAATAAGTTGCATGGTGAGTCAGAATTTTTTTTCTTAGCCCCGGGATACATTTTGTTTGCATTTTTTTTTTAAAAAAAAAATATGATTAACGGCTCATTGGGTATTCCAAAAGTACCTTATTTCCAAACTTCTGAGTGCTAAAGGATTTTGTTTGGAACTTTCTGAAAATAAATAGCTTCCTTTAGCTTCCTTTCCTCTGAGTCATTTATATTACATTTCAAGGCACTGTTCTACATGTGACATGAATACCAATAAGGTGACCTTACGCACGCTATTTATTTTTAAAAACCAACATGACGTTTTTTCCAATATAGACAAATAGCATGCGGTGGGTTAGACAATTACTCACTCCGTGTGTGTTTGTGTGTATGAGCAATTCCTTATTGCTTATGCTTGACAAAAGCCTTGCCTTTCTTTGCTATCGTATCAACCCAACACTTCTGCATCTAATTTACAGTAAGGAAGCAGAAGCTCAAATACTTTGGCCACCTAATGAGAAGAGAGGACTCTTTGGAATAGATCCTGATGTTTGGAAAGATGGAAGGCAAAAGAAGAAGGGAATAGCAGAGGATAAGATGGTTAGATGGTGTCATTGACACAATGAACTTGAGTTTGGGCAAAGTGGAGAGACAGTCCACGTGTTCTGTCCTCAGCCTCACCAAAAGCACTCAGTCAATTCTGAGTCCCGGCAAAAACATTTTTATTTACACTAATGTGAACTATTTCATTCACAGTCAGCCAACAGCTTGGCAAACTGTCTCACGAAGGTGGACTAATTATCTCAAGACTTTTATCAATCCTGGAACGCTTCCCAGTAAATAGTTCCACACTCACTGTTGGCAGGGAAGGCTGGGTTTACAGACAAATCTCCCCAAGGCTGGAACAAAAAAAATGACCAAATGAGCAAGTTGTTTCCTGCAAAAGCCCCCTCCCCTTTTGCTCCTCTTTCAATCCTGATGGGAGGGGCCATTCATTGTCCACTTGTGGCCTTGCTCCCACATTGACCCTGAGTTCTTAATTGCTCCTTTCTTTTAGCAGCTCTGCCCATGCGCAGGCTGGGAACCTGTTCCAGCTGCTCCCCAGCCTCACTGCTATCTGAGCCTGAAGGCAGCTGATGACTGCCAGCCCGCCCTGGCCCCATCTCTGCCTCTGATGCAGAGCCCTCATCCAAGCCTTCCTCAACCTCCAAGACTGGCCCAGGTTCCTCCCCAACCTCCTCACTACCGTCTGACTCTGCTGCCAGCTCCGCCAGTCATGGGCAACAACACCATGGGATGGCAAAAGTCAGACGTGACTTAGTGACTGAACCACAACAAACACATCTACAGATTATAAACCAGACAAATCCAGATCACAGTAATGTCATTAGAAACTGGGTGGTGACTTGGTGGTATAGCAGGTGAATTTGGGGAGTCTCCACTAAAGGAATACATCAGGTAAGAAAGTTCTAGATTGGGTGACTTGCTCCTCTTAACTTCAGGAATACTAGTATTTTAGGGTCTGTTCAGAAGCCAGTGTCTGGATTCTGGCAATTGCCCTAATTAAATCATGAGCCTTGAGCCTAGTTTCAAAAGAAACCCAAAGATTTATTAGGAGCAACATGACCGGCATTAATCTGTATGAAGCCAACTCTGAGACATGTAATATACTATCACCTATGACCAGGGGTGGGATTCAAATTTTTTAACAACCAGTTCTGTGGACGTGTCTTAGGTGGTGGGCGTGGCTTGGTGGTCATGTGACTGGGTGGACGTGGCTTGGTGGTCATGTTATTGGCTGGGCGTGGCCAACTCAATATCATTCACATCGAGGCACGCATCTCCTCGCCTGGCCTCTCATGACTGTGGGGATGCTGCAACAGTCGTAAGTGTGAAAAACGGTCATAAGTCACTTTTTTCAGTGCCATTGTAACTTTGAATGGTCACTTCACACAAGCAAAGTACCAGCAAAGGAGGGGAAAAAACTCCAGAGAGGTTCCTGAGACAGGAAGTCTAGTCCTGCCAAGAATGTAATAAGGGTTAACAGAGAGGCAGTTTCTGCAAGCAACACCAGAATGTTTCCTTCCTGCCTTCCTTACAGGATTAGGCCAGTAATTTCTTCTAACAACCGGTTCTCCAAACTGCTTAGAATGTTAACAACTAGTTCTAGTGAATAGGTGCGAACTGGTAGAATCCCACCCCTGCCTATGACCCTGTCCCCCCCCCCCCAGCCCCCTGGGGGGGTGACCTATTACAGACTCCACCCAAAAAATATCCACCCTCCAATCAGGGATTTTCATGGGCAAAAAAACCACTTGCCTAGGCTACAGTCTCCACAAGAAAAAAAAAAAAAAAAAAAAAGGCCTTCATCTGTCATCAGGCCTTTCCCCCCCTCCTTCTAATGTCAACACTGCTCCATCAGGCCTTTCCCCCCCCTCCTTCTAATGTCAACTCGGAAACAGGTATAGGAATGATTTACGAGTTGACAGCCTGATGGTCACATGGCCCCACTCAGTGAGACTAAATTGCACAAAAGGGTTCCCAGTGAGAAGACTATTGGGTAAGAAGTCAATATCTACTGATGTTTCAGCTCATTCTAATCTCTTTTTCTCCCTCCCTCTCCCTCTCTTTCTCTTTTACCTACAGGATGATTCAACAGAGTGTGGTGGAGTCTCTGGATTGAGTCCATCACTCTGGTCTATGGTAGGAATCCAGTTTATCCTCCTCTGGATGTTATTCGGAAGCAGACCCTGTCAATTATGACCCCGAGAAACCCCAAACCTCATCTAACCAACCAAGATCCTGCCAAAATGTTAGCCCACCATTGTCATTCAAGGAAAAAAAAAGGGGGGGTCCAGTCTGCTCCAGCTGCGGATTCCATGGCGACCCCAGTGACTCGAAAATCTTTTCGGGAGGGGGGAAAAGGCACTGGAAGGCACCCACCACAGCTGCATGTTGGTGTGTCAGATCCGTTAACACGCATGTGTGAATGCTTCATCATCTAGGCCATTCAGAACTGGAATCTGTATGTGCTTTACTGTGGACTTGCAGGGTTGGGAGGGGCAAAGTCTTCTTTTGTGTGTGTGCTTTTGAAGACTCTGTGTTTAACCAAAAAGGGCTCCCCTTTTAAAAGATCACCCCCATTTCTGTTTGTTTGTTCAAACTCGGTTTTGAGTGGGTTGCGCTCCTTAAACATTGGAACGCCTGATTTATAAAGGAAAGGGGAAAACAAACTTGCCATTTCCTTCGCCTTCTGGTTTAGAATACTGATTATTTATATGCCTGCGTTCAACTAACTCGACTTCATTTCACGCCGGTTCACCGGTGGTCAAATCAACCATAAACCAACACCGTGATTTAAGAAAAACGCAGAGACTTCTTCACGACTTCTCCTCCTCCTTCCATAACCATTGCTCCCACTGCCAACTTCAAGCCCATCAATGCAACGGCGTTAGCACACCTGAAAATGTTTCCGAATCCCAGGAATTTAAAACATTCTAGAGGGGGAGGGAGAGGGAATTAAAACGATGGTCAGAAGGCGGCAACTGGTTTTAAAGTCCAAAAGGACTTTTTTTAAATGAAGAAGAAAAGAAAAAAAATGCTAAAATGTTTTATTTAGGAAGCAGTGGTGGGCTAGATGTCAACGATCTGGCACATCGAATTGGACACCGCGAGACTTTTCACCTTGGTGTAAAATGCCTTATAACAGATCATCTTTGTTTTCTAAAAAAAAAAAAAAATCGGATTTCATCATTTCATGAACGGGATGCAAAGTTGTGAAAAAGGCAAGCTCGAAGCAAGCAATGTCAAAATGGAATCTTTTTTTAAACAAAAAACAAATTTCATCCCAGTATCTTGCTCAAGCTGTTAATGTCCGTGTGGGATGCTAACCTGTTTTCACCGGTTGCAAAGTCCTCCAAAGTTTTCAACACACAACGTTTGTGAATACAAATGTCTTTTGTGAATATATTGAACGTTGGTTTCTAAGGGTAATTTTTGCATGATGACGAAGCTGCTATTCTGTTCAGGAATTATTATTTTTTTCCTAGATTTTTTTTCCTTTTCCTTTTTTCATGTGTAGAGTGTAGTTTATTGGAGAGGTGTTTGTGTGATTTTTCTTTTCCTGCTGTGTGAGAAACCAAATATTGCGGTGTGATGCAATTGAATCTTAAGTTACATATTGTTAAACAGATATCTGAATCGATTGTGCAATGTAAAAGCTGAAAAACGAGGGATGGTACATTTAATTATCTGTGCAAGTGGGGAAAATGGGTTTTATAAATGAAAACATTCACCTGAATTACTGTTTACAGGTCCAGTCAGTAGCTGAAATCAAATTGACAGGCATTTATTTCAGGGTTTTTAAAAAAATAACTGTTTATTTCCATCAAAATTATCCCCAATTATTATTCAGCACCTTACCTTCTGCTTTTCATCACAAAAAGCAAAATTTTAAAAAATTGAATGAAAAACAATTGGAAAACCCAAAACAATCTCTGTAATTCATAGAGAGACCCTTGGGTTTGAAGTAAAAAAAAATACTTATTTAGTGTGAACTCAAACACCAATCCAGTCAGTAAAAACCTTGGAGTACAGAATGTTGTAGACAGAGAAGATAATATTTTAATCAAGGACTTTTTAAAACTCACCAATGAATGTGTGGCTTTCTTGATCTCACAGAATTCTTCTAAAAACTGCAATTTTTTTTATACGAGAACCCCCGTAAAATATAATTGCACCAGCAAGTGACTTTCATCTGAAGTTGAGCCCAAAGATTTTGAGGAATTTCTGAGAATTCATTCGTCATAGATGAATGACGGGTTTTTAATATTTCCCCCTTTGTCTGCTTCCATTTATGTTCTGATTTTAGCTGAGCACACTAGTATATTTTCTTCACTTTCTCATTTGCACTTTAGCAGATCTAGGACAATTCAGTGTGGCCATCTTGGCACGGCCAACTCCAGTGGTGGGATTCTACTGGTTTAACAACTGGTTTGGTAAGTAAAACAGCTGAGGCATGGCAACCCACTGTGCCGTGTCTCAGCTGAGCTTCAAAACACGGAAATATAGGACAGGCTAGAATACAGGTGGGTGGGCAGGGCTGACTGATTGTGCATACCGGTTTGCTCAAACCGGTGTAAACCAGTCGCAGCCTACCCCGGCCAACTCACTGTGGGACACCTACTGGAGGACAAAAGTTACATTAATATCGAAGAAATGTTGGAACAGAACCATTAAAGAAAGGGAGGAACAAAATGAAGATGTGAATGACAAAAAATAATGTCATTTTTTAATTGTTTTGAATACTGCAACTGCATTGTTGAATTGTTCAATGGTGAGTTGGCTGTGGTGAGTTGTCTCACTTCAGCTTCTTCTAACTTTGTTGTTAAAGTTTGAGTTAAAGTTATGAATTGAAGTTAGACTTATGAGCTGTGGTGGCTCAGTGGTTAGAGTGCAGTATTGCAGGCTATTTCTGCTGACTGCCGGTTGCCTGAAATTTGGCAGTTCAAATCCCACCAGGCTCGAGGTTGACTCAGCCTTCCTTCCTACTGAGGTCACTAAAATGAGGACCCTGATTGTTGGGGGCAATAGGCTGACCCTGTAAACCGCTTAGGAAAGGCTGTAAAGTGGTATATAAGTCTAAGTGCTATTGCTATTAAGTTCAAGAGATGATTAAAGAAGGAACAATGAAGCAAGATTTCCTAATTTTTCTACTTTCAAAAAGTTTTTGCAGGTGTTCCCATCTCAAAGAAATACTCTAATAAAATGGGATGAATAGAGGTCTCAAGAGTGGGCTGGCAAGAATCTGAATGACCACTAGAAGACCCTTGGTGGCGCAGTGGTTACAGCTCGCTACTGCAGCCCACTTCTGCTGACTACCTGCTGCCTTCAATTTTCCAGTTCGATCTTGACTGGCTCAAGGTTGACTCAGCCTTCTGTCCTTCTGAGGTGGATAAAATGACGACCCAGATTGTTGGTGGCTAGAGACTGACTCTGTAAAACCACTTAGAGAGGGCTGTAAAGCACTATAAAGTGGTATATAAGTCTATTGCTATTGCTATAGGGGCAACAAAATACAGAAAACCTTAAATCTTTTGTGTCATCTAGTGGTCACGTGGATATTTGCAGTCCAGGTGCAGTAGCTCTACAGTTCACGGCTGACAGTCAGGTTTTTCATACCTTAGTGCAGAGGTCCCCAACCCTTTTGGTTCTGTGGCCTGCCGCTGGCAAAATTTGGTGGGGAGTGGGGAACGGTTTCAAGCACACAACATAAATCCGATGCAAATGAAGCTTTGCACCCTCGCCTGCCACTTTGGTGGCCCGGTTCTCAATGAGACGCAGCCTGGTAACAGTCCACGGACCGGGGTTCGGGGAACACCTCTGCCTTAGTGGACATCATGCTTGCACAAAATTAGTCAGAGATGTGCTATATTTCTTTGCTTCTGTCCTCATTGAAGAGAATTCAGCTTGTTTGGCATTAGGAGTCCAATTCAGCTTGCTTCTGTTAAAAGTGCAGATTGGTTATTTATTTATTTATTTATTTATTAGGTTTATATAGGTGCCCGTTTTGCGTGTATGTGCTTCTGGGCAGCGCACACAATGAAAAATAGACGCTTATCGGGAACGGGATGGCAATTCCTTAAAATTTGGCACTGCAGATCAAGTCACTTGCTTGCTTTTTTACTTGACCATAGAGTTTGCCTTAAATCAAAATATTGGTCCTCATCTTTAATTTGCAGTATTATTTTTTTTAAAAAAAAAAACACTTTTACTCTGAGCAGCATTGCCAATGAAATTTTCCACCAATTTATCTGTATTCGGGTAATTTGTAGCCTCTTCGGATGATTACTTTTTTTGGTCAAAAACATTTTTTTTTCAGGTACTGCTACTAACTGCTTCCTGTAAATAATGCTTACACTTACAATATCTACATCTATTAGTATTATTATTATTATTATTATTTTAAAAAATGCCTTAATTAATTCCTAGTCTTTGCAAAGGATAATTTCATGGCTGGTTTCCCCCTTTCTCTCCTAATATGGAAAGAATCGGGCTTAATTCTCCTTGTGGGAATAGGAACTTGAGTGTTTAAACATCGGTTCATAAATAAAAGTGTAGCATATGCATTAAGCAGAAATGGTGCGGTGGCCTAGAGGGGGAGCTCTCGCCTCACAATCAGGAGGCTGTGAGTTTGATCCTGGGTAGAGGCAGATATATTTCTCTCTCTGGGCACGAGGATAATATATCTGCTGAACAAAATTCCTCATTGGCAACAGGAAGGGCATCCAGCCAGTAAACACTCGGCTAGCTCCATTCAGTTGGCCAGATTCCACCCTCCAAAGGGTTTATGGGGTCATTAAAAGGAAATGATATGCATTAACCAGGAAACAAGGAGCTTTTATTTAAAGTGGTAAGACACCCATGCTGGTAGAAGCCACAGATATAGGCATAGCTGGAAGATGCAGTGAGGTTCATGTAATATACGGGGTGGGTAGACTTAAGAGTTTTTGTCTTCTTGGCTGTCATCTAGTGATCAGATGGAGTTTGGCAGCCCAGATCTGGTAGCTTGGCATGCTGAGCTCCGTTCAGCTGTTAGAAAAAAAAAAACATCAGGATTGCTTATCACATGAGCAGTTCCTGGTCACCATGCTCCAGAGGACAAGTGCTCAAACCATATGAGCTTGAACACATGGATTTCTGCGGAATCAAATTTTATAGGAGAGCGGCAGAAAATCCTTGCCTGAGTAGCTCTGATGTAGCTCTTATTCTGGCTCATGTTGCAACCAAATAAAGATATAGCACCAGGAGACAAGAAGCTTTTACTTAAAGTGGTAGGACACCCATGCTGAAGGAAACTTTAGCCCAGCACTTAGAAACTTGGACTTGAAGATTGTCTCTTGCAGACATCCACCTGGTATATGACATTTGGCAGGAGGAAGAAGTAATTTGAACAACGTTGGCAGAAGAGAGGCTCCAGGATAATGCCTGAAAGAAGTTTTAAGTGTTTTACTCATTCTATTGCTCTAAAGTCCTTCCCTTTTTTCTACTTCATCAGAAATCTGGTGGGAATTTTCCATAAGACTTGGCGTACGATCAGCAACCCTACCTCATTTGTTAAAGATTCCCAATGTTGGAAGTCTCCAAACTATTTAGAACCTGTCACTTATTTTTTGGGTTGGGCAAAAGAAAGAAAATAATAGGATTTAACTTTTTTTTTTAAGTTGGTTTTCCTGTAGGAGTGAATTAACCTCTGCAGAATCCAGGTTTTGACCCTAAATTAGAAGCTAATTTGGAGAAGTGCCTCTGGTCCTGGAAATTCAGTTTCCCATGGCTTTGGACCTTTTTTTGGCATAATTAAGGAAGCATCTACTTTTGGCCATTTATGACATCAGAATTATAATGTCAGAGAGAGAAGGTCTCTCTGGGAGCTGAGAGGAAGGATCTGTGGTTGGATATCCCTTTGCAAGGTTGGAACCCCTTTTCAGAGTTTTTCCTCCCTGCGACCTCCAAAATTCTCTCCCAAACATTGTAGGATTGCAGGATAACAGAGTGTTGGCTCTGATCTTTTAGAATTCTCCTTCTATTTGGCTCTCATTCTTCATATTTAAGAGAGGATGGGAAGCAAAATTATCCCATTCACCAAAATTATTCCCATTCTGACTGATTCTACCTGCCTTCAAAATATTGATACCTATTTAAATTGCATTGGTTTTGAGGCTAGGTTCCATACTTTGTGTTGTTGACAATACCTGTTAGGTTGCTTGTGTGTTTATAGAAGCAGAAAATGGCATTTCAAGATGAATTAAAGAAAATGATGAGCAATTCCCGAAAGTTCTGAGAAATTAGTGTGACCATTGGACACATAAACAGCTCTTGGTTGCCTTCAAAGAGATTCAAAGGTGTTCAGACATTTTTTGGAATCCAAAAGCATTTTTGGATACAAAATGGGGTGTTTTGAATTCAAATCACTGGAGGATTTCAACAATAGATTGGACAATTTTTTGACCAGGTTGGTATAAGGTTTTGTTGTGGACTGCCAGTGGAATTGGTGGTAGACTTGGAGAGTGGGGAGATTGGGGGCGGAACATGGGCCAGTCCTGGAATCTGGGGAAGGCTCTGACAAGGGCTCTGCATCAGAAACAGAGATGGGGCCAGGGCCGTCCGACAATTATCAGCTGCCTTCAGAGTTGGAGATCAGTGGGGAAGAAGAACAGCTGGAGCTTGTTCCCAGTGTGCGCTTGCGCAGAGCTGCCAGGAGAAGGGAACAGCTAAGGAACAAGGGTCGACTTGGGAGTAAGGGCACAGGTGGATGGTGAATGGCCCCTCCCATAGGAAATAAAGAGGAGTGGAAGAGGAGTGGTGTTTGCAGGAGACAATTAGTTTGTTTAATCAGTGTGAAGATTTGTCCGTGACTCTCAGAGACTCCTTGTCAAGAATTACCTTGTACAGCGTTGCGCTTGGAAGCTATCGGCCTGGCCGCTCTCCAAGCTTGATAAGATCTGTGGTTGTAAATCACTCTTGAAAGACTGTTTGCCGGGACTTTACTGGATGTGAATGAGAGGAATTCACATTAGCCTAATAAAAAGGGGGTTTTGTCAGGACGAGGAGTCTGCTTCATAATTTCGTGGAGCCTAGATCAGAACAGGTCTCCTGTCTCGAGCAGGAGGTTGCACTAATGTTCTATGTTCTTCTTGTATTC